TTACATTTAGATAATTGCGAGTAGTAATAATCGAGTGGAGAACGTTGAACCGTGACGCTTGTAAAAATCGAAAATAGGAAACAGATACATACACGTATGTACATAAATAGAAAAATGATCCCAGCGTTACACCTTGTCGTTGCAACGTTGATCTCGGAAACGATACGCCGAATTGTCTTGTTTCGAGATCGATACGCCGCTTGCTTCCTACCAAAGGATTCTCCGTCTCTTTCTAATTTTATCCGGCGAATTATCCGTTTTCCCGAAAGGACGTCACGGCGAAATTTGTCCCCCGAACGGAAACGATGGTTAAACGTCCATCGATTTTTCTCTCCATTTGTTTCCCTTTGTTCGTCCTGTTCCATTGCGGCGGCGGAATCAGGAGCGCGTTCACAGGTAACAGTCTTTTCCCGTCAAGCTTGAAAAGCCAAATTTTATAAGTACGATCGACGCGTGATTTTGGGTTATGTCGTCGTCGATCGTGCCGTTCGCCCGGCGTCGAATCGCGTCGACGCACCACGGGCTCTCTCGATCGTTTTAATTGCGATTCATCAAAGCGAAAATGTCCGCCGTACGCACATACATGCATGCATAACGGAAACTTTTTCAAGAATCGTTGAAACATTGCGCGTACGTGGACAGCGTTGCGTACGCGACTAACGCGACTAACACGACCGATCGACACACGGAAAAATAATTTAACGATTCGACTGCTGATTAACGTTTCAACAGGCCGTGCAACCGAATTCCGATCGCCTGTTACGCGATGCGATTTTTAAACGGTTGTACGTTTTTAATATTCGTTTCGCCTCGGTGCACAAATCTGCATTTTTACGATAGCATTTTTTACTCCACTCCGTCGTCGGTACTTGAACCTCGTTCCCGTACAATAGGACGCGGTTCTCTACCTGATATCATCGGCATTACAATCGCATCTTTGAGAAGAATCAACAAATTTGTTCCAAGGCGCGTATCCTCGAAAATTACAAGGGTCTTATTCGTCGTTCCCGTCTTTATTGTTAACAGGACCGTTTTTCGTCTTGGGATCAGGAAAGCTTTTCATTCCACGACGCTACTTCGAGAGAAGAGCCGTCGTTATTACGAACGCCTTTGCACCCAGAACTGGATCCTTTCTTTTCGAATCGTATCTCTGGGTTCCTCGTAAAACCAGAGAAGAAAGTTTCGCGTGGATGGAGGAGTCAACGTTGAATCGCGTGTTACTTCTTCGCTGTCAGCGATCCTTTTCTCTGTTCCGTTTAGACAAAGTAACCGGTATTTATCAAAGGAAAGCTTTTTGAGCTCTTGACGAAGCATGGCGGCCATTTTTCGTGGATTTCCAGGAAAAAAGCGAACCGAACAAGCCGTGGCTGCGTTACCTCGAGCTATTGTGCTACGGGTTTCTCTATTTTCTGGCTGTTATCTTTTCAAGTCCTTATAATTCTCTTCCTCTAACCCCAAAGTAATTAGATCACGGTATATTTAAATTATTCTAATAACCTTCGAGTTTTCTTTCTCAAATATTTCGGCAAGCGCTCACATTCCATAGTTCCATTCAGTTTATTTATTTGTTTCCAAATATTTGTCCGCTCTCTGCGCTCCATTTGCTGCAGCCAGCGTTCCACTGAAATCGTAGTCGATATTTACGTTTCTTCGTTCGTTTCGCGTATGCACCGGCAATTAAAAGATATCTCGTGTTCTCTCGTATTTCCTTTTTATTTTCATAGCGTCGCGCTGGCCAGTTTTTCTACAGCGGGAAAGGAATGCCCGGGCGGCGCAGTTACGTGCTCGGAAAATCGTTGGCGCGATATTCCGTCGTCGCTGGCTGTTGTTCCAAACGGCAACGGAATTGAGATTTTGTATCGATGTTACGTTCAGCGACGCGTTGACGCCGATTTCCAGGAGCCGGTATAAACTTCCGAGAGGATACAGGATAGAGCTGAAATTTCCGCATGTACGAGACGTTACGAGGCTGCTCGTTCCGCAATAATGTCATCGTTCGCCGGGTTCATTCGATGCTCGTGCTCGATCGATTCTGTCCTCAAACCTCCTCGAAACTTCTTGAAAGAAGGCGACCCGATGCTACTCGAACTCTCTGAGTTGATTCACGAAGGAACCGCTTCTTGGCCACGATCCGAATATGTACATACCTCGATGCTTGCCGCTTGAACAGTGCTGCACTGGCACTGTCAGTGCTGAGTGCAGACTGCTCCCTTCGATCCTTAACGTTCCACGTTTAACGCATATCTTTCGCTGCCTTCCTTTGAGGAAGTACTTCGTCAAAGGTACGTACATGTACATACGTACATACGTACATACATACATACATATATGCGTTACAGGTCTCCATTTACCGAGGTTTTCCTTACGTTTAACTTTCATTATTGCCTTAAACGTTTCCTTCTATGACCGGGATATATACTTTAACTTCAAATATGTTCTTTTTTATACTATTTGTATGATTTACGTAGAAAATTTTGGTCCCGGGTAAAACATTTTAGAAATCTTGCGAAAGTAAGGGCAATTGAATGTGAACAAATAACGGGCCGAGCAAGTGTTTCGAAAACCGCGAGAAAATTAAAGGTTTGCTTCGAACTACACTTAACTATGAGCAGCATTAAATACATATTCAGTAGTACATTTATAAATATTAATAAAAGCTTCGTGACTCTTTTTGACCTTTGAATATCCGGCAAGTAATGAAAAATTATTAATACACAGTGCATCAGTATGTGACAGTAAAGGGTAACCACCCCGAATCAGGTTATGCAAAACGCACCGGCCACTTTGCGCGCGGAATAATGTTTCGCTAATTGATTTTTCCCGGCACGGCGCGGCGTGTATCAACGAACGAGCGCGACACGGTTAAAGTAACGCGTTACTTATTTAAATATCGCGTAGCCCCCGTGTTTGAGGGATCAAAGACATTGAAATATATGTATGTCGGAGACGGAGGCGATGAAATTTTTTCCCCGTCATCGGGCAGCCAGGAAATTATGCCGCGGAGAGCACTCTCCGCGATAAACCAGATTCATTAGCGCGAACGCGGCCTCGCGCACACAAGATTTTTCGTTACACAGGCCGGAAGTAGGTCGGGAATTGTGGAGAGACGGGATGTATCGAACGAAAACGGAACAAACGACGCGTAAATTATAGTCTGAGCGTGGTATGCGCAAACAGAGTTACACCGAGGGGGAAAATATCATTGGGCTCCCTGTAGTGGCGTCGTTTTCCGATGCGGTACGTCAATCGAACAAATAGAATCGATTTTTCTTTAACAAATTACTGAATTACAAAAAGTATTAATCGCAGACCTCGAAAAATGTCTGCATAACGTTGGATAATTCTGTATCGAAGATATCGCGGATTCGCCTCGTTACCCAGCGTTTAAATTCGTACAGTACGTTTTGCCGATGAAGCCACACGTAACAGCTACAGCTGATAGTTTGTTAAGTTTCGATAACCTCTGACATGGTTAGATACACTTGAAATTCTTTTCATCTAAAGTCTTAAAATATTTGTCGTCCCTTCTAGAATTCACTAAGGTTTATTGAATTTAGAAACCTTCGTTGATCGTTTCCGAATGTATATAGAAAATAGAACGATTTTATAGACATGAAAAACGAAACAATTTTCGCGTGGAATCTTTGACGGTTCTCAAAGCGTCGGAAGAATGAATTAAACTTGAACGAACGGCGTGAAAGGCGGAGGAATCGAGATATGAAGGTCTATTTTCTAAAAAAAAAAAAAAATCGGTGAGATCTCTTAATGCCAACTCCAGTGAAAATTCCCTCGAGAAAATTGGTATTCTCCCTCGGATAATTGATCGAATCCGTGTTCGATTGGAGATGCTTCTGGCAAGACGAGACGAAACGAGATTCATTTTTCAAGGGCGTTACACACGCAACGCTGAATTCGCGGCCGGACACGAAATCGTGATTCCGAGGAAAGTCAGCTCGGATGGAAAATTCGTGTCGCATCAAATACCTCATCACTTCAAGCGTTCCTTCTACGCGGCTCGATCGAACACTGATAAGATTCTGGACGATGCTGTTCACTACCGTCTACAAATCGGGGACGAAGAACACCATCTCGAGCTTCGGCCAAATCATCGTCTTGTTGCTCCAGGCAAGTAGACAATCTTCTTCAAATTTTTTGCTTACGCAAATTTGAGAAATTTAACGTAACAGGAATTTCGTTAAAACTTGAACTTCATTTTAATAACGACTAATTAATAGAAACTCGAGAACACTCCTACAGGTGCAGTCATCGAAGACTACAGAGAACCGAGGTCTATCGCTCGAGGAAGCGACGAATTCCTGGACAATTTGAAATTACAACGAATGCGTGACTCGCAGTGCCACTATCAGGGCCGTGTTCACGGGCAAACAAAGACCAGCGCATTATCGACTTGCTACGGACTCGTTAGTACGACAACAGCACCTTTATCCTCTATCGATCGGTCGTTTGAAACCCGAAAGAAAGTCAGCGTACTTACATTTCTATCGTCTTTTGAACTTACTTTTTGAAACCTTAATAATCGATACCCCCGAAAGAATTGAGAATCTCGCGTAATTTCTTAGCTCGGCTGTCTCATAGAATGCAACAGTCGCGAATCTGAAGATTTTCCGCGTCAGAAAAAGAGAATATCGAATGTCTCCAGTGTTGAGAATGTATTGGCAGAGAGTAAACTGGAAATGGAAAGAAGAGAGCAACATTTTAAATCGATTACGGAAAGCAGTCTGTCGGATAAGGCTTTCAAACGACACGAACAAATATCGCGAATCTTCTCCGAAGCGTAAGATAAATCTGACTAGAAGGAATCTCGGTGTTCTCATCTCCAGGCCGGATATATTAGAACGAAACGATCGTGGTACACGATCGAGCCAGTGGCGGGTCACGACTTCACCAAAGAAGCAGAGCACCCGCATGTCGTCTACAAAAAGATACCGGACGAATGCGGAACAACGAACGCCGAGATTCTCTGTAACGTCACCGGCAATATGGCCAAAACCATTGCCAAACGTGCTTTCAGTTCGCAGAAAGCCCACCCGACTAAGAACCAGGACAAATCGTACACATTGGAGCTGCTGCTGGTACTCGACAAGACCGTTCTCGATTACCACAAGGCTCTCGACATCGAGAATTACGTGCTCACGCTGCTCAATATGGTGGGAATTTTCTCGAGGATTATACTTTTCGTTTCTCCGCTATAGTACAGTCCCTCCTGTCCATCGTTTAGCCAGACGCGTCGATTAAATTTAACGCATTTCCCTCAGGTTGCAGGTCTTTTACACGACACTAGCTTGGGAGTACCGATGGAATTGAGCGTCGTTCGAATCATACGAATGCAGGTCCAAGATGACGAGGTGCTTTCATAACTTGTCCAAAGCTATTTTATCGACAGTACAAGTCGATTCTTGAAAGAATACGTAACTTGTAGTACGATATCGTTTTGTGATATTCATATTGAACCGAATAGATGAATCTGTCGTGGACGAAAGACGCGAACAGAACCCTACAGTACTTTCAAGAATGGCAACGAATCATTAATCCGGGCGACGATTCGCATCCTAATCACCACGATCTTGCTATTCTCCTCGAAAAGTACGTTCTCACGGGTCTGGTTTACCCAAAATTCTGACTTGGAACGATCTACAGAACTAGTATCTGCGTAACACCAAATCTCTGCGGTTTCACCGGTGCTTCGACAACTGCCGGAACTTGCGATCCTCTGAAATCCGCCGCTGTTGTGATGGATGCTGGTTTGCAGACAGGATATCAAATAGCTCATCAGATTGGGCACACGTACGACCGCAACGTTATCGTCGTACAAATTCTATAATGTTTTCGATTAAGTATTTATAGAACGTTCCGGATTTGGTCCCACAGGCTCGGCATGTCTCACGACGTCGAGGAGGAAAACGGTTGCTCCGGGGTGATTCACCACCTTAAAGGATTCATCGAGACGACCGTCATGCACCCTGGAAACGCCTACGTCACAAAAAGATGGTCCAAGTGCTCGAAGAAGTCTTTGATATCGTACATCCAGTAAGATACCCCGGCCTGCGGCTGTAGAACTTTATCGGATCGATTTTATATTGCTTCTACTTCCATTCACTTTAAAAGAATTAAGATTCCTCTTTATCTAGACACTCGTTTTAAAATTCTCCGATGAAGTGTTGAACAACGTCGAATCTTTCGAAACATTCCTTTAATGGTCGGCCCCTAAGGGTTCTCGCATTGACTAAAAGAAATTTAAAAAGCTGAAACTATTGCGTGTGCAGGAAAGGTTTGGGATTTTGCCTAGAAGATAAGCCGCAAGATCATGACTTGACTACGGCGGAACTACTCCCGGGAGTGATGTACAGCGGAGATGACCAATGTCGAATGCTTTACCGCCCGGATGCACGGCAATGCAATTTAGGAATCGTAAGGAAAATAATACACCGATCCTTCACCATTCTTTAAATGACACCTCGGTTCATAGTCTGCTACAATTTTCAACGTGATATTGCGTTACGCGACTCTTCCTTGGCCTTATTTTCCGCATAATATTATGCACCGACGTGGAGCTCCCTATCCTTTATATTCCCCCCGTCATATTCCGTCGCGTCGGAGAAAATATGTATGTAGCCTCGTGGAGCTGCCAAAAGTAAAAATTAAAATATTCTGGATGGAAACTACGTCATTCCGATTAACATCGTCATGGGAACAGATCAATTCTCGCCGTTTCGTTATTAAACAAATTACCGTTTTCACGTCCACTAAGAGATGGAAAGGTAAAATGGTCATTTTATGTTTATCCAAAACAGTAACGTCTATGTATACGATGTCTGTGCGATTCGGTCAAAATTTGTATTGACATTAACGCTATTTTTACTTTTACCGTTCAAGTGAAGAACACCGAAACGCTTTATCACTCATTCATCGGTTGATTTAACAAGAACGCGGCTTCAGAACGGCAAATCTAGTGGCAGTTTGGCAGCTATCCGCTTTAACTTCCTCGTTATTTTGTCATCCGGAATCATTGATGACGGACAAACAGGCTTTCGTAATTTTACAATTAAGTCTGAAAACATAGGTTCGCGGCGCAGAGATGGGCTTGAAACGCGCGACATTAATCAACTTAACGAAAATTTGAGGGACGCGTTGTTTATTTATCGAGCTGGCATTGTTTCCCGGAAACGCGGAATAAACGCGTCGGGCAGCGGCCATTGTTGTTCGCGGCCATATTTGCGCCACGGCGAACAAAACAAAGATTCATTTTTTTCTCTTCTCCGTAAAAGAATGTTTCGCTCGTAATCGCGTGGACCGGCGCGGTTTCATTAAATGCATTCCATTTGTTCATTAAGTTATTCATATTTGTAAGAGCGGCGGCCGCTATAAAGCGGCAGCTGCAAACACTTTCAGCTTTGTTCAACGACTTCAGCGCGTTAATTAAGCCAGCCGCGCATACGAAATTAGTTAAATTTATCCTGTTGTTTACCTCGACGTACAAAAAGTTGCCCCCCCGCTAACACGTGCCGACATTTTTACTGTACATCCCTGTAAAATTGCCTGAGACCCGGAACAGAAAATGTGCCCGGCCCACTTTTTCGAGTTATTAAAACGAGCAAACTGAAAGTTACTTTTGCATCTTTTCAATTGTTAAATATTTATACGACACACAGACAAAGCAACACAGGGTGAATTTGGCAACGCCTGAATGTCTTTCCTGTGCCGCTTTCAATTCGCTTGAGTTTCAGTTTACAGCCCCGTTTACATTTGAAAAATATGGAAAGCAATAACTGTCCACCTCTAAACGACTGAATTATTCTCGAGTCAGAAGCCTCGAGTTACTTCTTTTGCGGAATCACTTAATAAGTTACTTCGTTCAGGAACATTATTTATTTATGTATGACAATTCGTATACATAATATGTATTACTGGACTGAAGACAAAAGTTTGCCTATCGGAATTAAATATTTACTACTATAATAGGTACTGCTGCTGATTTATACATTTATATTTAACGATTACCAAATTTGAAAAGAATCAAAACGTTACAACCGTGTTATAAGCTACGAGAACTTTGAAAGTTGTACAACCCTAGCAATCAAGAAATCTGTAATCGTTGATTGCATCAAAACGATAAGCGATAGTAGTACAGGCCGGCCGTAAAGAGGCACCATCTGCCGCTCGTCAGACCAACCTCTTGCCTTCTGCCGGTGCGGCGGCCTACCTTATCCTTTTAGGAAAATACGTTGCATCGTGCGTCGTTTAGATAAGCAACACCCCGAGCCGGGATATCGTTTCACGATATCACAATCGGCACGAAACTGCCCCCCTACTATCACCCGCCAATGCGATCGCGTTTCATTTTCAGACTTGCAAGGCCCTGAGGTGCGCCATTCCCGGAAAGGGTTGCGTGTCTACCAAGAAACCACCCGCGGAGGGCACGCTCTGCGGAGAGAAGCGGGTAAATTATCGCCTGGAAAAATACAAAGGCTAATTAGCGAGTATCCCCGAGGAGATCTACGACGCTGGCGCGGAATTTTACTCGGCTAATGAAATTCCTAAGGGACCGAGCGGCGCGAACGCGCGCACCACATTACCTACCCTCCACCTTCGTTTCAGATCATCTAAACACCGCGAATGGTTAACCCTTGTACGTTAAAATTTTAACGTAGTTACTCTCCCATAAAGTGCCCCGCGATCATGAACAAATTATTTCGTCCGATAAACCGAAGTTAATAAAAAATATGCTTATTCTTGATCGCGTAAACGACTACTTTCCATTGTTTTCGTCCTTAACGAAGTCAAGGGATAAGGCGAATATTTTACGGAGATACAGGTCATAAACATTATCCTCAAATATACAACTGCCTACATAGTTAGACTCGAGAAACACTGCCTGCATACGCGGAATCTATGTATAGTTAATCGAATAGTCTGTATTTCTCGCCGTTAACGAGGATATTTACATAACTAAAGTGCGCGAAGCTTTCTCGTGGAACGGCGAACATAAAAGGGTTAACGGTCTGAAACGTCGGAGGGTTGAGGGTAAGCTTTATTCCCGTTGGCGTGGCCGATTGCGAAAGAATTATACGTTCTCCTCCGGCTGAATGATACATATTGTTTAGATATGCGATAATCCTCTATAAACACGTCACGAAACATTTTACGGGGCGACTTTTGCAAGAAACTGGTCTAGTAGGATCCGGGCGGTTTCACCGCCGGATAAAAATCTCTCGACCGTTTGAATTTCAATGCGACTGCGATTAAGACATTGTGCTCGTGACATGCGACCGGCTGTTTTTCGCGCGGTTCTTGCCTCGCACACGCTTTACATCAATCGTTCGCCAAGCCACAAAGGTTGTGCTCGATCGAGCACGCCTTTTCTCTAATTGGGACACCCCCTATCGAACTAATTTACGATTCGAGCCTTCTAACATCGATTTGGAAAATGACAATTTGGAAGAAGACAAAGAGACTCGTGACTCGTAACTCGCGAACAACGGGTCGTGAATTTGTTCTCGTACCAACAAAGCAACGAATCTCTGAGTCACTGTTCGAAACGAAAAGAAATTTAACGACTGTGAGGAATGCACGCTCATAAAGCTGCTCTAAAATATAGCACAATTGAATCAAGGAATCAAGTGAAACAAACACGATCGTACGTTTTTGTTCCCGACAGTAGACTGGAAATAGACGGCGAGTAGCGTTGGGTTCGATTCCGTTTGCATACTTAGCAATATTCAAACATCTTACAAACAAAATTATCATTAAATGAAAAGTTTAGCCGATAACTTACGATACTTCAAGGGTGCATTAGTCTTAATGCTGTCGGAGTTTAATCTTCTACGAGGAATTCGCACATTTCCGGCATTCGGCGAACGCGTTTTCATTCGCGAGCGCTTTATCACGTTTCTGCGGCTTTTCCTCTGTCCCTCGTTCGTCGATTATCGAAAAATATTTTTGGCCTCGACCCGTCAGGTAGCAGGGCGTGATCAAACGACCGCAACCAGTACTTCTCGCGATAAATTGATTTTTCGACTCGAGTAAAAATGATTCGGCGACGTGACGCTTGCCTTGAGATCATAGAAACACGTTCCTTCGTACTGATATTAGGAATGGAGAAAGAAAAAGCTGGTACTTCTTTATTTTTAAAATAAAACGTGACCGCGCGAACAAGGTACACTCGGGGTCCGGCTACTCTGTCGTAAATTGTAGAGACTGGAAAACGTCTATAATGCGTCGGCGACGCAAAGGAGAATCGAAAAGGGCCCGTCAGAAATTCAATGGTTCACGGTTAATTGGACCATCGAGGAACGGTGGTCTCGACGGGTCGATCGATAATTAACTAATTAACTTTGCAGTGGTGTTACGGATCAAAGTGTCTGATGGTCGGTGAACGTCCAGGAGTCGTGGACGGTGGCTGGTCAAGCTGGTCTCCTTGGAGTCGATGCTCCCGCAGCTGTGGTTCCGGTGTGGCTTTCTCGTTTCGACGATGTACCAATCCTCTGCCGTCGAACGGCGGTTCATACTGTCGTGGTGACAGAAAACGTCATAAAATCTGCGCTTCGAACGTTAGTAGTACAAGTGGGGAACAGGTACAATCTCGAAACGATCTCTGATATTCTCACCTTTAACGTTACCTTGACGCTTGTACTTCCGAGAAATACTTATTTTCTTTCCTAAAGCCTAAGGCCTGTACTACTACTACTACTACTACTATTATGGCTATGGTGAGGAACTTGTGTAATCGGGCTTGTGGATAAAAAATTGAACACGGCTTTCAGCCCTGTGACGTAGACGCTCCATCGTTCCTCGACGTCCAGTGCGGCGAATTCAACCGCTGGATCTACCCGGAAGATGGAAACGTTCACCGATGGACAGCATACAATCTGCCAGAAAGTAACTACCAGACCGCAAACGATTCGACGATATTTCGAATCGTCTGACACAGCATCCCTCGTTGACCCCCTAAACGACTCCGATTGACCGCAAACAGATCTGAGGGCTTCCGAAAATCCCTGCGCCCTTTATTGCCTGAGCGAGACCAACATAGTGGCTTCTCTGAGACCGAAAGTCGTCGACGGCACCACCTGCTACACGAGCATCCGGAGCATTTGCATAGGAGGGGTCTGCACAGAAATACCCTGCGATCTGAATATGGAGTCAAGCGCCGTCGAAGACGTATGCGGCGTCTGCAGAGGTAATGGCACCTCGTGCAGTTTGAAGGAAGACACGGTAACCATCGAATCAGCGTCTCGTGAGTAGAACCGAATGGGTCGTTCATATTTTTTACTTTCTTTCGAACATTTATTCGCTTTACGTTTGCTCAAAGGTGTGCCATTGATATTGCTGTTTTCTTTGATAACATTTACCTTTGATATTGTCTTGGTCTGTAACGGTACATACATATACATATACATGTGTACCTTGCATTTCTCTCTGACCTGTTTAAGAGAATTCGATTCATTATAATTTCATTTCAAGTTTACGACCGAAAGACATAAACAGAGGAATGAAGGAAAAAAGAATACTTTATTGTCGAAGTAAAGAATATCGAGAATTTTATTTAATGAAAAAATAGAAAGGAAAATCGAAGGAAGCTTGAGGACGCAAAAGAATCTCCGTTCGAGAGAAATAAAGACGGGGAACTTGAAATTCCACGCGGATAAAGGCATTAGATCTTTGAAAAGTGTGAGAAGTTTTCGAGGTATTTTCCGAAGAATCTCCAGCGTCCTCTTAGCCTTCAGACCCCGACGATATTTCTTATCTACGAATAAATCTCTTATTCGGGATCCTTCGAATCGATACTGTGCGTTCCGGTCAGTAGGAAAGTTCTAATAAGCGAGGGGAAAAACTTTCTATGGTAGGACCGAAGAAAATAGTGGATGTCCCGACTGGATCCACGAACATCCGAGTGGAAGAAACCGAACCCACGAAATCCAGGATAATGGTCCGAACTAGGGATGGAAAGCCGTTAATTGACGGGTAAATGGACTCCCCCGAGAAACGTTAAGCATTTTATTTGTACTCCGAACGCGTAACCTGATATACCGATTAAATAAATATGACTAGTAATTCAATCACGATCAACAGTACGGTTGGGTTAACATTAAGATTTTTGATCGCGAATAGCATGCAAACAAACGTCTCGTTAACTGAAACTGAATTAGCTACTTTTCGATCTAGAATCATGTAGCCAATTTACCAGAAGACCACTGCCCAAGCTAATCCCCAACTTCCTGTTTCTGGAACAAAGGAGTGTCTGAATAAGACATCCACGAGCATTATCTATGATTATTTCAGGGATCGTTTAGGAATGTTCGACGTGGCGGGCTCAAAGGCGTGGCTAGGAACGATAAGACCGAGCCAGGAGGCTCTCAACATACCTGGACCCGTCATGGCGGACCTGCTTATATTGGTAAACATAACGAATGCAGCCCACTAATTAGCCGGCGAGACAAATCGATAAGGTATCTCGAACAAGGTGTCCAGGTGTGGACAGTTCTTATCTGGCTGTGCCAACACCTTGGTCGCAATGGCGGAATGAAGAAGGCTTTCTTGAGTGAACCCGCGTGACGCGTCGACTTGCATCACGTCGTCTAATTGCTATTACGCGACAACGCGATACGCGTATGGCGGCTGTTATTACGGCCGGTCGCACCTACGCGGCACACCGTCGTAAAACTTTTGCATTCGTTGATTAGAACGAACCGCGCATTCTCATCTCACAGTCTCGGTCTCGGTCTCAGTCTCCGTCTCTGTCTACGTTCCCGTATCGTGTGTCGCGGGGGAACGCGTGACCGACTCGGAGAATGTTACTTAAATCTAATTAGGTTTCTCTCGGAGCGTGTTTCACACGGCTGTATAGCGCCGATATGCCTCCTATCGTCCTGGAAAATTATACTCTTACCGTTCCGCGCGTTTAACCAGCCGTCCCTGTCATAGAAACGGATTGAGATTATGCAACTGTGTGTTTCGAACGAAAATTCCAAAAAGCTTCACTGAGCTTCAAAATAAAATTATTTTTTTTCCTTGTCACGGATTCTTTCAATAGTTCTCCTCTTTCATACGATAAAATGTTTAACGTTCGGGATTTAGTTTCACGAAACTCGTACAACTTCAAACAAACGAATGAAACACGAAACTGGTATGTGATTTCTGGGTAAACAAGGGTGAGGAATAATAGAGCACAAGTCGGGTCATTTCTATTGTGGCCGTAGTCGATTCTAATCCTGTAAAGTGTTTCTACAAGATAAACTTTTTCGATGTATTACGTTTTCCTGAGTACACGCTAGATCCTTCAGCGAAACAAATCCTTCTTTCACCGAATAAATAATTGTCGTTGGTTGAGTGTACGAGGTCGACTTTAGAAAAAGTAATTCTATTCGAGGTATGTACGTATAATTCTGTTGACCCAGCCGAGTTGTTTCATCGAATAGATTCTGCCGAAAGAGAACGTGACGGTGAAGTATTCGTTGGGTCTGAAAGAAAAGAGCACTCGTAAGCCTGAATTCTCGTGGGGATTCGTTGACTGGGAAAAGTGTAGCGCGAACTGCGGACCCGGTGAACAGATTTCGAAGCCTCGTTGCCTGGAAAAAGTCGCCGGCCTGGTGGATGAGACGTTTTGCAAGAGCATCGCGAGACCCCAGGCAAAAGTTAGACCGTGTCATCAAGCACCGTGCCTGCCTAGGTTAGCTAGAGGCTTCTGTGTTCAGAATATTTTAATTAAGAAGGGAATCAGCTGAATGAAGAAGATGTGAATGATATAAATTTGAATTACGATGATACTATGTATACATATAGCTTGGTTCGATCGACAGAATGTTCTGCTCTGATCTCTTTATCGTGAGTTTTACTTGTCCGATAAGACAGAACTTTATACAAAAAAATAGCTGTTTTTTTTTAACAATTGCTGGATCATTATTGTGTCCTCATCGAGCAAATCAATCGCGATATCACTCTAATTTACTAAAACATGATTCACGATGAGCATAGATGGATGATTGGTGAGTGGCAAGACTGCACACCCTGCGTTCCCGGCTGCGAGAAAAGACGAGCCGTCAAGTGCGTACGTCCCGTTGGCTACGCCGAGCAGGATGTAGATGTTATCGCTGACAGCTACTGTCAAGGACCGAAGCCGAAGGAACAGGAGTCCTGTACCGGTCGCCGGAGACGGGACGACGTGCTGGCACGCGAAGAGGCGAACAAAAGTAAGAACTGTGATTTTTCCTTATAGAATCTATTAGATATAATGTGCACTATCAGACATGAACGCGTGAACGTAAATTCCCGTGGCTTAAACAATTTTCGCCGAAAACAATCGATGACAGGTGACGACAATAAACTCTAGAAATCATCCTAATCGCGAAAAGTGACTTCACAAGAGAAACGCGTTTACTAGAACGTTAGGGGAGAAAGCAAGCAGTGGTCAGACAATTTTTTCACGTCATCGAGCATGAATTGCTGTGAACGTTGTGCTATGGTTTCTCTATCCTTCGGAATGTTAACAAACCAATTACCGTCTCATATTCTTCGACACAGCGAAAAACTTGTTGCAATATTATTAATCTTGTAATAGATAATATACGCGAACTAAAGAAGAAACCATGGAATCGAAACAATCGCAATGAAAAGACGACCAAATCAACCATAGCAAGCAAAGGAGAAACTGTGGTGGACAAAGAGGATATTAGAAATTTAACGCTGACCATTTTCTTGGAACGTAACGAAATGACCGGCGCGTTGAACTTCCCCATGGATTTCGAGCCCCAACCACCCCTGAATAGTACAGAATTTACTTTAGTTGGAATGGACGCACTTAGGTACATACGAAAAATACAAGAAGATACAGTTGAGAAGCGTTGACTCTTTTGTGGTATAAAGTATTCGCATGTATTTCAATATCCAGGCACGTTAGAAATGTAATGCGGTATCTATAAATCGGAATACCTGCCCAAATGATATCGGTTGCTTTGTGAATTACTTACAACGTTAAGCATTATCAAGAAGTATAATATAAGAATTATCAAGCCTATTAAATTCTTTAGGCTAATCGAATACTTGATCGCGGGCTGACAGCGATCGAGTTATTCGTTCTAACGCGGGCTGCAATTTTTAGATCGACCAAGACAAATCCGGATCTTATGTCGCAGGACTCGCAATGGATTTCATGACACTGGTGAAATGATCGATCGTGGTATTAAATCTACAACATTGTTGAACGGGCGTAAAAATAATTTCGTAATAAATCGCTGTTGGCAAACAAATATCTCAATTAAAAACGTGTAATAATCTGCTACGGAATTTTGCCCACGTGCACAAAATAATGGAAACGATTGTTATTTGATTGGATTTCTTAATTTGAAAATGAATAGTCGTTACGACAACGTAGGTTTTACGAGAACAGAACTTCGCAATAAACAAAATACGTTCATTTAAGGAAACAAAACAATAAACAACATTACTTCTGAAATATCAGAGGTTCGAAGTATACATATATGTACGCTTAGTATGTACATGTATACATATATGTATACATAGGTAATTATAAGAATACTCCAATACTCGTTATTATTGCGTCGAAAAATAAATCTGACCCAGCAGATATTTAAATGTACGCCTCTCCCATCTGCTTAATCATCGTTTCTAGTTGATGATCGCTATGGTTGATCTGCAGGATCCACGAGCTTGGCCAACCGATCGTAAGTTAACTTATCGTTGTTGCCAGACGACGATGATGGTACAGACCGTGTTTCATTCCGATTGATCAGAGTTTCGATTTTTTCAATAGCCTGCATACCCTGGTAAACCTTCTCGCGGGAGGTGTCGATGCTTCCACCGACGAGGTCGCCAGATTCCTGGTACGCCTTGTCCGACAGATTCTGCTGAAGGTTACTGTCCATGTAAGGAGCTTGGAGCAGAATGACATCCTTTGTCGGTATCTTGTCGTGTATTATCGATCCTTCCTTCGGCTTGGTCAAATTTATTCCGGGAGGACAGGTACTTCGTTTCTTCTTTGCCTCTTCTGCACTAGACCAGTCGCGAAGTAGTAGACGTAAGTCCGCCGAATCGCTCACCTTGCTCAAGTCGTCGGCCTCGCTCTCCGAGGAAATCCCATGCGCTTTCTCCAGGTATCGTGCTAAACTCAGATCCACAAATGAGTCGATCATCTTGCCCTGATTTTCCACCGGCACCGACTTTTTCTCCTTTAGATTCTCGACGTCTTTGTCAACGTTTCGCGTCTTTTTCGCGCAACTCTTCCGACAGGGCCGCTTACCTACGCGGAAACGAAGACAATTTCCCGCGTGTTTAACGTTTGCGTTCACCCCATAGATTACCTTAAAAACTTACGTTCCTATGATTCACAAAATCTACTCGCTAGACTTTTCACTGTATTTTTTTTACGGTACATAATCGTACAGTTACAGAAGCAACGAGGAGGGGTCATTAATGTTGGAAAAGGTAACAATAGAATGACACTCTCACCGATGCATTCGTCCTTTTGTTTGGGCAGGCGTCCTTTGCACGCGTCAAAGTTTGCCTGCACGTCATCCTCACCCGCACGAGCAGCCGGCTTCACGCACTGCACTTTACGATGCTTCCAACCCTTCTTGTTATCGCATTACTTACTTGGCGGGGCAAGCTTGCATATTGCAAACACGACTCTTCGGTTCCGGTTTGGGTATGCCAGAGCAAAAAGACAAAGTGACCTTTCCGCCGTGTTCTTCGATACACGTTGCCTCGGAGATCTACGATTTGGAAAGTAAATTTCAGATACAATTGCACTTTTTACCGGTATCCCGACAATCGTCACTTATAAACCGGATCACGTTGAGGAAAATTCCTCGTCGAAGTCTGCTATCACCAATGTTCACGTATCCGTAAGATGTATCGACGTCACTTGTTCTCTGATTTAGTAATACAAACGTTCGCGAGCAAACAAATCGGAGAACCCAAAAAATATAAAATCGATTCTCGAGTAAATGTAAATTCGCGACGAGGAAGTTACTTTCTAGAGGTAATTCCAAGGTAATACTTTCACTGCCGTTCAACGAATCAACTTAGATGCTCGAATTACCATTGTACCACCACCGCAACTGGCGTCGCAGTTCGTCCACTCCATGAAGTCCCATATATACTTCGGTGTGTACGATGGATTGGAAGACGGCACGTAGTATGTGTAACTCACTCCGTACTTGACATCCCATTCATAGAATACGTACTAGAATTGTAGCAATAATGAATATCGGTATGGTATGTTCACGGGAGATTAATTGCGCCGAGTGTTTCATGAATATGAATATAATGGTCTCTGTCGAAATTCACACTGCTTTTCAATTTTCAAGCACGACAATACGTAGTCAGGTGTCGCAGTCCCAGTTTCGTTAGCTATAACAAAATTGGCCCCATTACTCTCTATGGCTCGAGATCGGCAGCGAACGAAAACGTTAGAACATTAAAAGCAGACAACTATCTACCACGATAATTGCTGCGATGCAGTCTTAGGTAAGCAAAATGTAACGAGATACATATTACTTTCAGTTTCTGTAACCAGTCGGTATAATAGATTTTCAATGCATTTAGAAAACGATCCCAGCCAAGTGAATAACAGTTCGCGAAAGTATGCGTAGTAGCGACGTACTTCGATCAGAAGATTTTCTCCTATTGGCCCCTTTATGTCGATTTCCTCCCTTTGCGGCTCAGGATGCGTGTATAGAAGCATTGAATTCACGCACTCGTAATCGCCGTCTCTAAATTCCACGCTATAGTTCAAAAATTAGATTAGTCAAAAGTTCGAATCGTAGTTGAAAACGCCTTAATGTATAGCGTATTAAAGAAAGTAATTACTTTCCTCCGTTAATACAGTATTTGTTGCCATTCTCAGGTTTCGCTGACAGGATGTTCTTTCTCTTTATCGTTTCTTTCACCGAAATACTGCGTGCGCCCTTAGGAATTGTCACTACCTTGACGCGTTCTGACATACGCGTTGTGAAGTTGTTAATGCGTGTTTGTTTAATTTTGATTAAATGCATCGCATATATTCTCTTGTATTAAAACACCATTGCAATTGGAATATTATACGGTAGACGGACGATAGAATTTTCGCATTAGGCAAATTTAATAGTATGATGCATAAGGGATATAACATACGTTGTTTATCATTCGTGGAATCGAAAAGTCCTTGTACTTTCTTGCACTTGGTACCATCGCCTTTGCAAATGCCACACTTATCCTCGACGGCGTTGCCGTCCAGAACCCAATCGCAGCCAACTTTCTAAGAATACAAAGCTTATGATTTTAGCAAACATTCTCAAAACTCTAATTAACAAGAAGACTACGGGATGATTGAAAAGAGAGCTATAATGAAGAAGAATCTCTTACCCTACAAACACCAGAGATACACATGTCGTTTGTTCCAGGCTTGCAGGGTGTCGTGTCGTTTACCGGACGTGGTAGATTGATTAACTTGTCGTTCTCGTTCATGCAAACTAAATCGCAGGGTGCTTTCGCGTAGAAATACGGTCTCCACTTATACAGTTTACCATCTCCTAACATCGATTTAGTATTGTATTCTGTACACTGAACTGCTCTGAACGGTGGTTTCGTGGGATCGCAGGGCTAAGCGAAAAAATGTTGCAGAGTTTGAAAAAAGAACAGCAAAGGAAACGAAATCGATAAAGCGTTAAGTATTCAAAATAAAAAGCAATATTTTTGGGGCCGCTTAAGAAATAACAAACGACATGGAGGACGACAAGCCAAAGGATTTACGAGAGAGGGGAATCGAAAGCAAAATCGTGAATAGTCATAGTAGGGTGGGTAAGAGTCCAACGAAATATGCATTATTAGCGGTACATCGCGTTATTCACCTGGGTATTACAAGTCATGAACTTCTTCCTTTCGCCAAGACAATATCTGCCTCTGTTTGATGGCACCGGCTTGTTGCATTCCCTCTCGCTAAATTTGAGACCACCGCCACAGGTTCTACTGCAACTACCTACGGCACTCCATGAACCCCATCCGCCATGCACCGCTTGTGGTCGAGTCCCCATATCCACGCACTCCTTGCGGAAGCACCACTGAGTACATGCGTATTCTTTACTTCCTGGTTGACGTTTCGCGATGCAATATATGGAGCAATTTTCTACATAGATTCTCTGACCCTCACTAATCCTCCAGTCTATGTGTATGTGTATTTGCGCGCGCGTACGCGTGTTTGTGTATATTAGCATGAAATGTTTCAAATCGATTTTAACTCGATCTTTCGCTTGATAGGTATATCAAGAGTTTCCAGACCCGTTTTCCTACTATGTACCGTTCGGTTAAACAAATTACTATTGAAATCCCGAAGTTCTCGAAGCGGTTCCAGTTACCCGTGCAACTACCCTGCGACAATACGTCATACTTCTCGCGACAGACTGAGATTTCACAGCGGTTGCTGCTTGTACGAATGTTTCCTGTTTACGCCCGTTTTGTGTTATGGGCCGCTTTATGCGCGTTTCCCGGTGAGTTACAGTTCACGTCTCGGAAATTTGAAATTATTCCATTCCGCTTGGTCCTTACTTCCGTCTAACCGTTTAAAAGCAACCGTACGAATATTCCTGAACAATCTCTCGACAGCCGTGTATAGAGCGAATAAATGGATTTTAATTTGCGAGGGAAAGAAGAAAATGAAGGAGAGATTTAAAGCGTCGCGGAAGTTAGAAGATACTATTAACTTTACAGCTGATGGGTCTCAGTTCACCGAACCTTGTTCTCACCGCATTTTGTTCCATCCGCAATAGGTGCATTGCGAGAGTAACAGGTATTGTTCATGTGGCACCATAGCTGCTCGCATTTGAATGTCTGAAACATACAATTCGATTCGTCGAGTGTCTTAGATTCGCGTGAATGGCTGTACCGTAGAAGAAGGAGTATAACCGTACACCAGTACAAAATTTCGAGCCAGGGAAGACAAGGTTGCACTGAGCATCTGTATCGTACATCGCGCCGGGCAGCATGTTCGGAAGCTTTAATTTCTCCGGCGGGTTTCGTGGATTGTTGGTCAGACATTCGCCCAGTCCTTTCCTAGCGAATCGACACAAAATTGTTGACTTATACACCCGACAGCATAAAAATGGAGCAATGAAATCGTCGTAATCTCGACGAAGCATTTACTCGAAAAGCTGTGTCATAAACGTTCTGCTGCATGGCGACCATCTGAGTGTAAACATATTGACAAAAGGAGACATGACATAGGTACTTCCGTCACTCTTGTCCTGGGCCTCGCATGCGTTGGGACCTCCCTCGTCGTGACTGCAACCCAGCCTAGAAAACGCATCTTACGAAATTACTGTCCTTTACCAGTTTCAGCTTGGATGACAAGCTGGATAGAACATTCGAGAAGAGGCGTGCTCTCGCCTATCTCGATTCCCGCGTTTTTATTAACCCTTTCGCTGATAAAAAGTCGGCTGCGGGGTACAGGAAAAAAGCTGCTTCAGAATTGAACTCTAAATAGTTGATACGATGGCAGCACGAAAGAAGTGGCAAAGGTATAATATTGACGACAGCGAAAGGATTAAATTTGTACGAAGCAACGTGCGTTGACAGTACGTGTGACCAATTTCGTGGGCAATGGTGATTCCAGTCATCAGACCGGTGTCTTCGTTGATAGTTCCTGCTCTCTTGGGGTCGCAGATCTTCGACACGTACGCTAGACCCAACAGCTGACAGCCGGTTCCCTCTGAGCAGATATCGTATCTGAAACAAAAATTTTGCCGAATGAGATTTACTCCGGTATTCGTTACGATGACAACTTCATAAAGCTACACCTAGTTATAAGAACTGCCACATCGAAGTGATTGGGATGTTCCATGTCTGCTGGATTGAGCTTCACGGACCATGCGATAAAACTGTCCAGTGCCTCTTCGGCCTTAGGACTAATGCGCAAATCTATCTACGGAAACAACGTGTTGGTAAAAGTTTGTCGACAAAATTTCATATTCGACTAGATGTAGGAAGCTTAAAGATCGAGCATTATTTTATTCTTTACGAACAAACTTCTCGCTGAGAGAACGTACGAAAAGGAGAAAGATTAATAGAATGCGGTAAATTACGTTTCCCTGCTTTTGCATTACCTCTTCTTTCTCTTTCTCCAAATATATTATGCGAACAATAACCACGTCTATTTGATTGCCAGACGAGCTGTCGTGATAATAATCCGCCACCATGTTCATAAGTGTCAACACATACTGCTCGTAGTTGGTGCCATTGTGATAATCGAGGAACATCCTGTCGGTTACCACTGCAACTTCTACATAGCGATGTATACTGTGAGTTGTGCTAGCTGGCGCTGCTCTTTTCGCATCGCCAGAGTTCTCCTCCATCAACTGCTTCTCACGTTGGGCTAACGATTCCGCCCACGAGGCCTCCCAGTTATCTGTTCAACAGCAAAAGCATCATTGTTGGTTGTCGTTGTTCAAGGATTCCAGGTGTAAACGTGCTCTTACGAATGAGCCGCCCCAAACTTGGCTACCATCTCGTGATGTTCATTCGCAGTAAGTCTGCGTACAGTAGTACAATTAATAATATATTACTGTATACAAAGATAGCCGTGTTCATTTTTTAATCGATGCAAATGCCTTTTGTGTGTACGCATATCGGAGAGCCACTGCCGTGGCGATAGGATTACATCTTACGAAAAATTGGAGCACTCGTTCGAAAAAACGATTTCATTGGAAAACCCTGGAAGTTCAGTCCGCTTTTGCTTTGTATAGGGTGTACATATGAGGACAAAACGAATATCAACAATAACGATATTGTGTTGGAGGCTTCGTTTTCAAGTTATCAACGGTCAAAAATTGGGATCAGAAACGCCTAAAACCAGGTAATCTGCGTACTAGCGGTTAAATTTTTAACGAAACACGTTATATGTACATTTCCCTTTATATGTGCAGTCTCCATATCTGCATATATGCACCATACTTGAGGAACAGACAGTACTCTACATGTACATACTACCGGGTTCGAATTCACAACTACTTTAGTTCCTCCTGAATACGAAGCTTCCAACACAATTTCATCATTCTTGACCTTCGTTCCATTTTGGCACGTAGGATCACACCTTAGAGTATCTGAAACCAGTAGCCGAGCACGCTGCATATTACTAGAAGATAAAGGATTCGAATGAAAAAGGGTTGTGTACTAACCGCTAGTACCGCAAGTTTTCTTCGGAGTCTGGCCATCCTTTCCATGCATTTCGTGCGGTATGCTGCGTTCGTAGGCGATGTGGACGTGCTGACCATCCGACTCTGGCTCGACATCTTTCAGTGGCTCGATGAAATACCGTCCGTGATTAGTGTGCACGTAGCCAGCCTGCACGCGATCCGTACGCATTTACCCGCTTCTCATTAATCAACCTCATTGTAAATAAGATATCGGAAACGGCTCGCGATAGAACACTCCTCCGTCAAGTACAATCGCGGAGCTGGCGTTCATCGTATGTAGTCGTAACGAACGTCGAAGAACGTCGATTAACGTTCAAGTTATAATTGGAGTTTCGCTTTCTGCCGAGCATTAATTTGCGAAACGGTGCCCGCGCTGCCGTGGCAATTGCCCTTTGATGGAGTCCGTCGCTCCGTTGCTCGTTTAAACGTCGAATCCATGCCGAAATTCCCCGCGAATCGCGAAATTACGTATAGACCCGCGGAAATTACAATCGGACGATCCCAATTACTGAGATCGGTTGCGCGTGCAATATTTACCCCGGGCACAACGGTATAATTCAAAACGGTCCGCATTTTCCCCCGAGTCCAAACAAGCTGGAGCTCGATAATTTGTTGTAAATTGCGGTCTATTCGACGAGGAGCACTGTGTGCGTTGAGTTACGCGAAAATTTATTGAATCGATAACGCACTCCGCGGCATTCGGATCCCTTCGTAGTTGCTGAGTCGGCCACCTTTCTGAACGGTCTATTATACTGTCGATGGATAAGTTAAAATTGAATTGCTCGAGAACGAGCACTAGACTCGGGAAGGCTGATGGAAGATCCGAACACTTCGTATGGAAAGTTATCCCTCACCCTTTCCGAATGCCACTCGTTTGAACGGATTACTTTAAACATTGTCGTAGTAAGACGATTTAAAATTCATATTTATCCATTACCATGGGTGGAACGCGTGTCTTTGCCGTTACTTTCGGCGAACCCCTATGGCAAACAGAATCGGCCGTCGCGTCAACGAGAGGTGGAGATTATGTAGATCGCGTCTCGCGACGCGTCGCGGCAATTGCGTCAAGCTGAAAGTTGCAATGGCAGCTACTTGCCACGCCATTTCCCAGTTCGATTCTCGAAAGAGAGTTAGAGAACTACCCGGGATTCCGGTATTTCGAATCGCAGCCTAGCGGACTCAAGCGTGGGCGCGACGTCGTGTCGGTTCGTTTCAATCCGAAATTTACGACCGATCTGCTCGTTGAATAAACGGTATCGGTGAGCCGCGCGTCGATCTATATGTAAATACATTATATTAATTTGCATCCGCTTAAGCGCGTAATAAGAGGCTCAATTAGCCTCGAAGAAGTGAGCACAAGCTTGTCGCGGCCTCGTTACCGTTTCATCGTCTCAGCTCCGCTAAGGTTCAATTGTCTTTATTATGTACATTTAACCTCCACGAAACAAACGTACCACCGGTCCGGATACTTTGCTCATCTATTAGTCATGTATTATAAAAAGAACCGAATGGACGAACAACGTTATTAGCGGGATCAGTTTTGTCTAGATCGAATTGAATTAACGTTGGATGTTCGACCGACAGTAAAAATAGTAAGTAAAATAAGATGGAAGAAATGTACCAACCACACCGTCGCACAGAGAAAGAGCAGCCTTGGAGCCTTGATGGCCTCTGACGAAACCCCGATAATGGCACTGCTGATCCGGGACCCTCTTGAATCGTATCGCCTCGTTCATGTTGGTCCTCAAACCTGCGCCCCGCGTTTCGATCACCATGTCTGGCGAGATGAATTCGTGGTACGGATTCAGCTCCACGTGGTGCTCGATCCCGTTGAAAGGCAGCACCAGGTGTAATTTATCGGTCCCGGGCTCCGTCTCCTCTGCCTCGATCGACCTCTTTCCGCGCTCGCTGATCTCCTCCCGGTCGTAGTAATTCGGCAAGGAGTACGTGTTGAAGCTGCCATCCTCGAATACTCTTCTCGGTATAAGGAATTCCGGTTCGTGAACGTCTCTGGAGTACCTACAGCGGCGGCAACCGCCGTGAAACGCGGAAAGTTACATCAACGGACGTTCCACGAACGCCGTAATACCATTGGAAGCGAGAGAAGGACTTCCGTTTCGCCCCCTTTCGTACGCTACAGTTTCTACTCGCGGTTCCATATTTTCCTGTTCAGGATTCACATTGAAAGACGTCTGATACCCTTTCCTCGTCGTTTATTGTTTCTCTGCGTCAATGACAAAATCTCAAGGTTTCTCATTATTATGTCCGTTACGAAAGTACGATGATGTGTGTCTGAAGCGTTTGTGGACCGTTTGTTTAGGACATGAATTATGCGTTCACAAGCATTAGTAAAGTTTACGTACTTATTACAAGTACGTTAATCAAGATACATTTACCGAACTCTTGCTTGTAAAATAACTTAACGATTCTTTACCAAAGCATCGAACCATTTTTTCCTGCTGGATCGTAACATTCTGTGTGGTAAAATACTGTCTTGTTAGAGCGATCGAATGCCGACAGGAAATTATATTACTATTACAGTTTAATTGAATTTATAGTATTCTTATGATCGCTATCAATGTCTTTACTACCGTTACACTCTTAAATCGTTACGAGGTATTGTTCCCCGGGAATAAATCTATCAATCTATCTATTATCGTGAGGAGGAGAGCCCCTCGCGAAGACAAAGAGCCGTAAATTCCAACTGCAGCCGGAGCAGTCGTTCGTTTGTCGAAGGAAAATCCTCGTTGACGGGTGGTTGCGCGACCCAGAGGACGAACGAAAAGAACGCGTGGGGAAAGATACGGGGCATTTGTCATCGAGATGGCAAACTCGCGTAGCCGGTCAGGAAAACCGGAAGGCACGAGGGAGGAAATTCCAATGATATCGAATCGAAACGGATCGAAACGGATCGGACTGGATCGAATCGCGTGAGGCGGACACGGATGAAATTGTCGTCGAGCCGAACGGTTCAGTTCGGTTCGCGTGCCGGAGTGCATCAACCGGGGGATTTTCCGGCGAGGGATTGATAACCGTTGCAACCTTATCCGTTCATGACAGACTAGTTTTTCGTGCGTCGCCTCCTGAAGTCGGTCGCCGCTCGTGAACAACGAAATTCTCGCGCAATTGTTTCCGATCGACCACAGAAATATATTCTCCGTGACGGCAGTCCTTTTCAATGTTACGTCGTGCTGCGAAACTCGATTCCAATCTGTCGATAATTCGAGTTTTTTTTATCGCAAATCGAGTTCTCTATCAACACGTGCGTAACTATATTATTGTCTGTTATATCATTACAATTACCTACACAAAGAAACGGTCGTCCATGTATCTAAGACACAGAAACTTTTCAATCTTTTCTGCATTGAACACCTTCGATTTAGCTCAAGTGGAATGTGCCCCTCGCCGGTAAAAAGAAACTGTCCCTCCTCTTAACTTCGATGTTGGAAACAATTATGAAATTCTTTAAAGGAAATCAGCTTTGCCGAATCGATGGAAACCATTCGATTCCCTCAATCCGTTATCGGATATCGCGCGACGCTACGACCTGTCGTTTCGCTCTTTTCAAATGGAACCGATACTCTGTGGGAAAGCCTTTTAATTTTTGTTGGTCGTTTCACGGCTCGGCGAACGTGGAACAAAGCTAAGAGTGACACCGCGATATTACCATTCGCATTATCGACGTCGATGCTCGTTCAATTTTACGCTCAGCTTCGGTTAACGGCAATCATTTCGAGTACACTTGTTGCACTTTATTCGGATTCGAACGACAAGTGGCGGAGCTCGTTGCCAAAGACATCCCATTGCTGTATTACAGAGCGGCCGATTAACGGAATAACGTATCGTACCGTTTTTTTTTTTTTTTCGAGATTATCGTAACGACCAAATCATATATTTCGGATGAACTGACAGCATCATGAAGGTATAATTGTTAGCAATTACTAGTCGTCTGAAACAATCTCCAAAATGAAGACCGTAACGCTCACGTCAAATTACGAATTAATTTTCCATCGGTAATTTCGTCTTTCGATCCAATCTTTTGGCACAAGCGTTCGATCACAGCCGCTGAATCATTAATAGCGACAAAATGGAACACTGACGTCGGCATTACAAAAGAATTCTTAATCCTTTTAAGGAGTCGCGATCTCAAAATGACAAGTAAATTCGGAACGACGGACGACCCATCGTGCAGTGTCTTGTTGCAACCACGTATCCGGCAATTTGAAATAACTGTAATCGCACTTTCGAAGTCGCAAGAAAATTAATGAAATTTAATTCAAAAGAAGTAATAATATAGACGAACTCGTCTATCCTAGCAAAAAATCTAACGAATGAAACTGATAAATGAAAGTGAGTTTACGGATGGATCACTCGGTATATCGGATTCGCGTACAGCTCTCCTATGGTTATGCCCGAATCGATCCAAATATGGGCTCAATCGGCTTCTGTCCCGAGCCTGATAGGTCAATTTCGGTCGTTTTGTTGGGCCCGTCGAGCCGACTGGAACCGGCAGTCTTTTCTCTTAGCTATTTTTGGCACGATTACGTTACATCGCGTGTAAAAATGATTGTTCAACGTTCGCAAACTTTCGCTTCGGCAACGCGGTCCGTTTGATGTTCCGTTTCAACCGGACTCGACGAAGCACGAGAAAATTGCTTTGATATGTTCATTGACACGATAATTAATTGAAAACACGGGAACGATTCGCGTATCGAAAACTGAGTGTTTGTGTTGAAAAACTTGCAGTTCTCTAAATAAATATATCAAAGTATCGCTCCGACACGAAAATTCTTTCAATGGTTGCGCTTGGACGTCTGAAAAATAAATCGGGCAGCGTCCCCGTTTACCGTACCATGGGCTGGTCATAACAGGAGAACACCGGTATTACCGGCGACACGCAAAAATGTCATCGGTACATCAAATTACCTCCGCTTCTCGCTTTCACGTCCTCGCCATTCAAAGCCCGCGGTGGTCGCGGTGATTTATTACAAACAAAAAGACCGACCGCTCGGCGCATCCCATTTACGTAATCCGGCAACAGAGCAGCGTAAAACCCGCTCCAGTTTTACTTGCTCGTCTCTGTCGAACGGCTGCATTCACACTGTGCCGAAGGAAGAGACGTAGAGAGCGAGAAAGAGAGATGGAAAGAGAGAGCACGAGCAAAAGAGGGAGCGAGAACGTAGTTGGATATCTCCAAGTGGACGGTAAAAGCTTCGGGGTGGTCCGTTCACGTTCGTCACTGCGGCTGTCGATGACAACCGGTCATTGGCAGGGAAATAATTAAGGCTGTAGCCGAACGGTAGGAAAAATCGGTCGAGGACGAGTCGCCGCGGAAAAATGAGCGATGCTCCGAGCTATACACCTACCCTTGTTCATTCACTCGTGTCGCGCACCACCATTTCATCGTCTTACAAATGAAGTTTAGACACCATTAGGAAACACATCGGAAACACGCGTAATTCTACGTTAATCGGGGTGAAACAACTACATCGAGATCACAGTTAAACGATGATTTTAAAGTATAATTGCGTTGGAATTTAATTAGCGGCCACGAGTGCCGAACACGTCTATTCAATTTCGCAAACAAACGCGATAGAAACTGGGGTAGTTTGTGTCCTTTTCTGATGCAAATGCGAAGCAAAGAACAAATATCCTGTCCATTACATAATACCGTGTTTCAAATAATTTATTCGGGTGGTTGAATAGGCCATTACGAGGATTCGGATAATTATACGCGTAAATGCTAAAGAGGTTTACAAAATTCAGTTTTGAACGCTGCACGCTGTTTAGTCTACACTTTGCAAAAATTAAAAATAATTTCACCAATCGTCCGCGGGGCGTGCATGATAATTTTGTCGGTACTAATTATGTACCGCGGCATAACCTGTCGCCTAACGTTATTAACACGTCCAATTCGTCGCATAATTCTGAGCAAGTTAGCTGCTTGTAGCCACGTTTCTCTAACGACATAATGACTCCTTTGCATTCGAGACTGGCTTCTGTACTGCAAGCTCCGTACGATAGGCTTACAGTGTTTCAAAATAATTACTACTTTTCATCTGGTCAAAGTATCTAGAGGTATGCCGAAACGTTAGAAATTATATGAATTCTATACGTAAAATGGCAGTTAAATAATGTAACGATCAATAATTAAGAAACACAGCAAACCTATGAAACAACTGTACCAAACCAACTGTCAGATTTTTCAAATATATTATAATGTTATACATTTGTATAAACTACCTTCTAAATTATAGATATCTTGACGACAGATTTAAATTTCAATTTAAACCCTTCCGTAACGATTTCAAAATTGGACTGTCCGTCGAAAGTCTCGTACATAAAACCTTTTAAGACTAACAAGATATCAAATACGGACAATGCATCCAAAATGTTGAATGATCTGTTAGTCGTTTAGACAGTGTAGGCGCGAATCAATGATGCTGAACGAGCGACGACATCTCCGGTTTGTGTCGCGTGACACACGCGTCCTCGGGCGTCTCTCGATGACGCAGCTTGTCGGCTGTTATTTGAAATTACAACGTGGCTGACTTTAAACGCGGACAGTTGTAACGAGAAATGAAGTTTGAGGGCTTTGCGAAAAATTCAAGAGAGATACGTCTCTATTTACGAGCCACTTTACGTCGATCCCCATTAGATTCAAGGGCCGTCTGCTTTTTTCGTTACGGTGGTGCTGCATCGAGGATCCTTTCAATTGCCGCATGGATTTGATCCCTGCTTGCTGTTTCGGAGACTTTAACCGCCGCGCCGGTTGTAAACGTCCACGTGACAAACGGTGGCTTTTACTCTTCTGGAGACAAGTGCACGGAACACAGAACTAAACTAAACAGCTGAGAAACTGTCCTTGCACTACCGTTTCCATCCTTAATGACTGTCATTCGTGCAATTGTCTCCGTTCGATGGGGAAGCTGTACCTTTGGTGTGTCTATACTTTGTATGCCGAGAGTCATGCATGTTCCAACAGCCTTCAACGAGAAAAGTCTTCTGAGAGAGTCCGATCGACTGGGCCAATGCAACGACGCGACGTCTGCAAATGAATCCGACACATGGCGTTCCGCAAAAAAAAAAAAAAAACGTTCGATAACCGACTGGGTCGAGTTACCCTACTTGCAAGTATTTTACAGTCGATTGATTACCATCGAGCATTGGAACGAGGGCTCAATGCATCCTGGCGGATACGGTCCGGTAGACTCAATCAAACGTACACCGACCGGTTAGAAGTTAATTCGACGTTATGGCCGATCGTTTGTCATCCGCGAGAGAACGAATCTTACCAGTAAAATCGTTGCGATACGTTTCGTCGAGTACGAGCGAAAGCGACGTGGATCTGGAATATGGAGTGGGTGGTCCCAGGACGCCATTTTACTTGTCTACGACTTGTCCGTCTTGTCTAGAACTTCAGAAACTCGCAAGTCATACGATTAAGGAGACAAATTGATTCATTCGTAATTTGGAAATTATTATTTTCATCCGACTAGGTTGGACGTAATGCGTACTAAATTCGAATTAATCTCGATATATTCTAGGATCAGTGTCGGAGATATTATCGTGCAACGTGTTTAATGCAATTTGAAGTGTCGTTAGAGCGCATAATAAACGCGCCGGTGCTCTAGTTGATCTTACACAGCTGCTGTAGCCGAAGGTCGTGTCGGTTCTAAAATCCATGGATGGTCGGCCCACGCGAACGAGTTCGTAGGCCGTTTGAATAGCTACCAGGTGCTTATTATCACGAAAGTCGTTTCCAAGACCGTACATCTTCCGCCGCGTATAATCAATACTCTATTAGCTGCGGGATTTGTGACATTCGCGTGAAATAATCGGTGCTTTTTCACCGCTCGAGTATATTTACATTTTATTCGGGACAATTCGTCGGTTTAGACTTTCTTGATCGAACGTTCTTCCGAATGACTCGCGAGACGTTGAACTTTTAAATTGAAAGAACGAGCAAAGGGGCGTAGGCAAGTAATTCTATACGTTCCCGAAGCCTTCTCGACTCGTAGAATTTGTTACACAGAACTCCTTTGCCAAGAATACAAATAGCAGAGCTATTACAACAGATGGTAACCGTGTACGCCTGATCCTTGTATACGAACTATTGTATTCCACGCAATCGTTGTACACGTTATCGTAACGGCACGATGCGCTTTGAAACGAATACCTTTCAATTTCATTGTGACACCACTTTAACCCTTCACGGTGTGTTACGTCGCCGTCATATATCTCCTCCGTGCTTTCAGATCCGCCTTTTGTGCGCCCTATTATCGATCCGAAAATCTGAATTCACCGACTCGCTGTGCCAGTTCCATTCGCAATGGGAAGGAATGTCATAAAACTTTTTCCGAAAGCAGCCCGTTAACGTTCCGTAAATCTTGCAGGATTTGAACGGGCGAAACTGTTTCATTTCCATTGAAATACTCGTAACACCGCGAGAGATTTGTCGCGTCGTCGAGAACAATTTTCCGTGACAAATGAAAGGAAAAACGTCGAAACGCGAAAATTAAGGTGAGGGGAAGAGGAAATCTCTCAAAGATGAAGAACTATAGGGGAAGAGAAAGAACGACTGAAATTCAATGGAGATAAATCTACCGCGTACCAAGATAGCGAAAAGAAGCGGGGAGTTTTCGGGAAACTAACTCTTCGGAGAGACAAGATAAGTCATTATCCGGAAAGGATCAAGAAACGACGAGCACCAAGAGCGAAATAAAAACAGCATTAAAGTGATCGAAACTCCGTGACAAAATCTTGTGACAAAAACTTTATCTTGATACAGCGGTTCATTGACCACGGCTATTTCGAACATGTCTCATGCACTTCTTTCACTGTTACGAATCATTTTGAAATCATACTCTTGGAGATTTTATGGCACTACACGTTGCACATTTGCCATGCAAGGAATTCTCCATTAATGGATTCAATATTTTCGACGCAACGGAGGGGAGCGTAGAGTGTAAATAACCGGTAGGAATTTTCATACGTTACACGCTTGACGTTGGAACAGTTTTACGATAATCCGCAAAAAGAGTTTCGAACGAACTCCAGGCATACGCGTTTGTTGCAAGTCATATTTATTCGTAAAAGGCGTTTCGATCGCATAATCGCACGGCTACAATTAATTCTGTTGCAACGAGTATTTTTCTTACGCGACTCGGGCGCGAAGAAAATTGCCCCGCGAGGTTGCCGTTTCCATCGAATGACGCTCTTGTAATCATATTCATGTAATATGGGATTCCTGAAATGTGCAATTATTGGATCGAGTAACGTTCCGTTCCAGCGAAACCGATCGTAATTCCGCGACTAAGATTCCCGCAAATAGAGTACCGGGATTGATTCGTGTGAAGCGTAGTCGTCTAAAGTTTGTACGTTGCTTGCGTAAAATCGGATCGGATCCAGATCAGTGTATTTACATAACAGCCAAAGCATCGGCACCGTTGGTTAAGTCAGATAAGCAAGACCCTCTACGAAATGGCAAACACTGTTTGAAAATGTATTGTATTTCCGACATAAAAAATATCTACAGATATTGAAATGTCTGTGCTTGGTCAGAGAAGAGACAACAAACGCTAATTCTATTTCAATCCTAATTGTAAGAATAAGCGTCTGAAATTCTTCTACGGAACTGTCTGTAGCGTACAGCAGGTTCACGAGCATTGAATCGAGTCGAAGCTCCGATGAGAAAGATAAGCGGCGATTGGGAATGACAGTAACGTCATCTGCAAATTTATATTAATTCGCGAAACGGTGCGACAATGTCGAGAAACAATCGATCGTTCGCCGGTGTTTATAAAGTCGTCGAACGAATAAAGTCGATATCGAAGGAAATGATGGAACAGCGGAGTATTTAACGTCTGTTTCGTGCGAAGAGGTACGCGGATCCCTGTAACTTGCAACTTAAAGTTTATTCGCGTGTGGTGAATCCGGCGATGTGCATGCGCGGTCGGAAACGAGCGCGAATAAAGACGAGTAGGGGAGGGGGGTAAGAAAAAAGAGGAAATTCGCGACACGTCGGAGATTTATGTACACGGTGTTCGCGCACGCAAGTTGTAACGAACAAAACGAATTAAAGGCAAAACAAACGGGAACGAAATTCGAAGGAGAAAAACAGAGAGGGAGCTGGACAGACAGGGCAGCACGGAGGGGAAGAAGGAGAGTTCGCGGCGATACACGGTGAAAACACGTCGTGCAAATAAACGCTGGCATACGCGTATACGACTACAGGGACCAGGAACAAAACGAAGCAAGAGCAAAACTCGAGACACAGGAGAACGGTCACGAATTTCGCAATAGGCGACGGTGACGCGAACGTATAAATAAATCGGCGAACAAAGTTGCACGGACGAAAGGCAAAGGGGGAAGATGCAAGGAGAGCCGAAAGAGTCCCGGAACCAACGAATGAGGACCAAGATGGTACCCGAAGGGAATGGGCGAGAGCGGTCGGAAAAGAAGCGGGCGAAGAGGTCGAAGTAGATAAAGTCGCGGCGAAGGAGCGGGAAGAAGTAAAGGGAGACAGATTCCTCGGACCGTAGCAAGGGGACCGAAGACGAAAGACGATGGAAGGAGAACCAAAGTCGCTCTTGAAGCTGGAGAGGGAGAGGGAAGGAGAGGACACGGTAGATCGTCGAAGAGGTTGAAAGAGGTAGAGAGACCGCTAAAAAGAGCAACGGATAGGATCAGAAGGCAAGATAGCCAGGGAAGAGGGAGGGAGATAGAAAGAGAAAGAGAAAGAGAAAGAGGCAGGGGGAGAGAGAGAGAGAGAGAGAGAGAAAGGGAGGGAGAGTGGCCGGACAGAAAACGAGTCCACGACTGGGTGGAGGAACTAGTCTTACCTAGTAGATTGCCCTGTCTCGGTTCTCGGTCCGTACTTTTGCGGCCGTCCAAGGTAGGAGGGAACCACCGAGTTCTCTGTTGAGCGTAGCCTAGTCGAAGGAGGCGGAAAAGAGAGGCAAGATCGC